GAAAGACCGCATATTGCACGAAGAGGCCGCATCATGGATGTGTGGGACTCAGTTGCGCGCAATCTTAACACACTCGACGAGTTCAATCGACGTCACTTCGATGGTAAAAAAGCGCAAGCACGGTTCAACCTACTTCTCCGAGACCACAAGGAGAGGAACGTTGCATCACATCGGGCTTCGGGATCCGATGAAGTTGTAGACGAGCGTGTTGTGCTATTGGACGACTTGAGCTCGCAGGTCGAAGAGGCCAAGAAAGAAGAAGCGGATCCTGCAGACAGTGAGGCGGAGGCAGCAGCTCGTGCTGAGGAGTCTGCTGTTTTAGTTCGAGAAGAAGCAATGAATTCGCAAGGCAAGCGCAAGAATCGTGAAGGTGACGATGAAGCTGCAGGTGGCAAGATGCTCAAGGTCCTGACGCTGATGAATGATGCGAACAAGAGTGAGCTGGAGCTGCGGAAGTTTATGTTCGAGTAGGTGCTCGATGAACGTCAAAAAGAGCGTGAGGTGCAAGCCAGGGAACGCGAGGCCCAAGCTAAGGAACGTGAAGCACAATTGCAATAACTCCAACTACTTCAGTCATCCATGACTGCTTTGATTTCGACACTGGTTAACAAACTGTAAAAATGGCTCTACTATATTCTTTTACACATCAACTACCTCTACAGTATCAAGGTACTCTTCGAGTGTCGGTGGTAGTTCATTGAAGTACATACTGATTTGATTTCCCCCGAAATGGCAACAATGATGACAATTCATGATTAGCATGGCCACGCCAACAATTTTTGCAACGGTGATAGCATGAGCTTCGAAAGGTTTTTGAACGTAATGTAGGGCCACAAAGTTTTCATGACCTTGAAGTTCCATTCCACGGCTTGTCGAACTCGACTAATGGACTTGTTGAAGTTCTCTTTCTCGGGGGTCATGGTGGTGCCACGATATCCACTCATTCTGTACTTGGTCACACCATAAGCTGGATCTCCGTAGACGTACTTAGACTCGAAGATATCCGTGTGCTGATCGAACGCAGGTAAAAGCCTGCTCATTGCACGCATTACGGAGTCGTGGCGACGGCCCTCGCACGGTCCCCATAAGTGCACACAAGTAACATCAGGCGCTGAAATAGCTTGAAAGTTCAAACAGTGAATGCGTTTATGACTACTGTAGATGAGCTTCTGCAAGTTTCCACCATCTCCGTTCGCCGCGATCCGTGACATTTGGATCTTTGTTCCATCAATGGAACCAAAAACACTGTCCAATGGAGCACCCTTCGAGTGAATAGCGCGGCAGCAGCGGTCCATACGTGTGCGGAGCAATTTTGTGTTCAAGTAGAGTTGTGCGTTCCACCGGTCGAATACGTCGTGCACCATGTAGAGGAAGGTGTCACAAAGCTGGGCTCATGATCGGCCAAACATGAGCGCCATGTCATGATATCGCCTTGAGAAGGTCAGTCGGCTGAGCAGAATACACATAGCTTCGTCACGGCAAACTCGTGATCCACTTGAAGTGATTAAAGTGGCAGGTATTCCAAGCAGATATCCCAGTTCCTGGACGCCATGAACGTCAAAACGGAAGTCCAAAAGAGAATTTGCATTGGGGTGCTTGACCAGACAAAATACGACGTTCGGGATGATAGGTGGCTCAATGTATTGCATGAGGTACATGCGCATGGGGAAGTCCCGCGACGTCTTGTTCTTTGCAAATGATAACAAGGTAACGATGTAGTTGACGGAGAGCATGTTGAGCAGTGATGTATTGTAAGAATGAGTCGCATGTGCAAACGTACTTCAAGCAAGTTGAAACTGTCAACTGAAAAGGATAAGAAAAGTCCAAAATGGTCCCTTTCGCCATTCCTTTCAATTCCGCTTCCGGTAGTCGGAAGCGGTATAGGAAAGGAAAGGACTCCTTCAAAACCTCTCTAATATGATACTCTGCTCTAATATGGAATGCGTTTGAACTTTCAAAACGTTAACCAATCACAGTAGTTTTTGTTCTGCACTGCAATTGGTCAAAAAAGGACAACTATTAAGTGATATTGAAATATACAGGTGGAAGAATTTATTAAAACAGATCATCTTACAGAGGTGGTCGGCTTTTTAGGGGTGTCGGCTTTTTCCGGGGTTCACTGTAATCTGCTTGCTCCATGGCAGCTACCCATGTGACGACGGCAGGGTTGAAACG